ATATTACATTATATTTCAATTTGTTGAAACTTAATTAATCAGAAAAAAATGGTTAAAAACAATTAGTTGTTCCTTCATTAGTAACAAAGTTGTTAAAATATTTGACATTAATTACACTAACACATATCCAGTTTATTATTAACAGGTGGTGCATTAAGTCCACCAATATCACCAGATTCGAGTTGTTTCAGGAGGCGGAACAAAGCTGCTGCTTCTCTGATACGACTGAATTCAATACAAAAGGCCTGTACTTCAATAAAAAGTTCCTTCACATTTATAATCTTGTTCCTTATCAAAGACTGCAGAAATACACAAACCAAGCGTACTAAACGATTCTGCATATAACGATCTTTTATGGTTTCACAAGTGGATATACAATTGCTAATGTATAAATGAACAAATTCTGTAGGCAGATCCACAGTAGTAGTCAGCCTATTAACTACTTCCATCGAATGAAGAGACATTTCCATATTTACCAAAACACTTAGATATTCAGTTATTTGACTCGATTGCATCAACTTTAATAACACCTTAATAGCAATCATAGGATTATTCTCCACTAAATCTGGTAGTTTTCCAGGGGTAAGACCAATATGATACACTAATTTTGGATCTCTGTCTAATTCATCAAAAAGATGTTGCTGTTGCTGTAGCGTTACCACACTCTTAAAAGCTTTACCCATCAATCTGCGGGCTTCGGCGCCAGCACAATTTGAGACGCACATATTACTATCATATTCGATTGTGAACTGAGAAGGTTCTGTGACATTAAACCATGATAATTCATCAAAAGATCTATAAAGTGGAGGTGCCAATCTCAGGAACTCAGGTCGATAACTTTCACAGCACAATGGAGGATTATCATTGTACATGAAGTTTTCTGCCATAAATTTTGTAACATTTCTAGGAATGTAATTTTGTGTAACTTTAGAATGATCCATATCAGGTAAAATCACTGGATGTCCACATTTTGCTATGGCTGGTAGTTCCGAATGACGTTCTGTTAACTGTGCTTGCAAACTAGTCAAATCAATAGGTGGTATAGATGTAAAAGATAACTCATCCACAATCTGCCTTGGAGTTTTCTTTAAGACATCTTTCTGATTGTTCCCCAATAAATTGATTAATAAATTCTTCTCGCACTGCGATAAAACTGGAATATGTCCTGTGAAGTTAGTTCTTGATACACCATTATTTGTATCTTTTTGTGATTTTAAAACCTGAACAAAAACAGGTGCAAAAGGTGTGGTAGCCAATGGTTCGCCTCTATAAAGGTCAAACAATAGTGTCACAGCTATAACACGTTGAACATTTTTTGGCAATAGATCTATGTGTTGTAAAAGAAGAACTAACGTCGTTCCTACATTAAATCGGTCTTCTTTTCGAAATACTTGATGTAATTGATTACAAAGGTTTTCCAAGCTTGTGTCAAGATTTTCCTCTTCAAGGATATCCAATAACTTTGTTAAACCATTCGGCCTAAGCGTCATGTTTGTCACGTAGCACATTATACTATGTTACAGTGTTTTGATGAAAGTTTTTCACACTTATATTCATAAATATTTCGATTCCAATAGAATGTTCTATTTAAAAAATCATCGACTATAGATAACATATTAATTTAAAATTCATAATACACTCGCGTAGATTGTTGTTACATTCCGTAAATGCTACTTTACAGGTTATGATTAAAATTCAAACTACAATTTCGAAAACAACAAACAGTCTCGAAAACTGTTAGTTAGGTTAACTTTTTTTTGTTAAAATCATAAAATATATAATCTGCATGCACGAATCAACTAAAAAATTACGAGTGAGGGTGTAATTTCACACCTCACAATCCAATATACTAAGATGGACAAAATACAGTATGATCATGAAAAGAGTGACGTAGTGCTAGTGAAACGAGCCTTAAGTAAAAATTATTATATTTTTTAATATTTCGAGGTACACAGAATTTTATTAATTTTCGTGTAGACGAACATTCACAGTTTATTATAATATTTCCATTTTATATCAAAATACTTGTAATTTATGAATATAACCTTTTTATATCAAAGGAACATACAAATTTTAAGGTGGTATCACCAATGCGATATAGGATAAACTAGACGTGCAATGTACGTTTTTGTCCCACGGCCGGGAGGTTACGTAACCCCCTTGCCATTCCAGTGTCACAACGTTACCAACACAGTACAAATACATACAAATAAATAAATAAAAAACGTGTTCTTTTTTATTTTTTTATCTCAATACTAAATTTCTCTTATACTCGCAATTTCTTATAGACACTTATCAAAATATTAAACATAATTCACAATTTCAAAATTACACCATAATATGAATACTGAATTTTTACTGAAAATGTACATAATTTACTTGCATAATACAGTCGGTGAAGTTCTTATCGTTTTTCGAACCATTTGTCTTTATATCTGAAAAAAGCAGAACCGATACACGTTCCATAGAAATTTTGAAAATTATTTTTCATACAATTTTTAATTACTAATCTGTAAAGTGCATATTTTGCAACGTGAATACTAAAAAGTCTACAAGTATGTAAATGACTCTTTCCATCATTCACGAGAAACGTAAACATTGTCTGAATACTTACCTGCAGATGATTGTATATTTCACATTTAAATTACAAAAATATCGCAGCCAATTAGCCTACCATGATCCTTTTATAGAAAATATTGTAATAAGGATAATGGTAATTAGGTAGTGGTAGATAATTAGATAGTTGTAAGGTCTTATCATGTGGAAATTAATATTACCACAATTGAAAGTAATTCCTCGGTGGGTGTTTCTTTTCTTGAGTCTAAATTTGAGTAAAGAAGAACAGTAACATTGGAATGAATTATATTAAATAATTATAACAAATAAGGTATCCCTCGGCGGATAATTCCATGCTTCCCTCCTCGAATCTGAAACTGGCTACATAAAGAAACATCCAAATAAAAACAGCAACATAAGAAACAAGTATGAGATTGAATTATACGATAGATTTATAAAAGACAATTATAAGAAAGGATTACAATAAAGAATTACAAGAAAAAGTAACTAGGAATGAGGAATCTCACGATAACCGATGACTTCTTTCTTGAAATGAAATCTAACACATTAAATCGTAAATTAAATCTAATTTTAAACATGGATTTCTACCTTCTGAAAGCAAACCACGAAAGATAGATGAAGATCCATTTCATCAAATCTCTCCTTCTTAACCTAACACATTTTAATATTAACGCAATTACTTCTACTCTTGAACTTCTACTCCTGAACTTCGCTTCTCGAGTCTGAACCTAATTAAAGAAATATAGCATAATTAGTAATATGGGACAAGTGTAAAAGAAATGAAGTATCCCACGGCGAATAGCCAACGTCTTCTTTCGCAAACTTAGTTCTAACTTAATTTAGCTTAACGGATAACTTTAATTATACATTCGTCGCAGTAGTGAAGGGAGTAAATTAAGGTAGTCCTTGATTTAAACATGAGACAAATCAGAGAAGCAGACTCTGATTAAATAAGAGCGAAATGAGAGGATACAAACTTAATTTAGCGTTATAAGATGATTTAAACTATACGTGGATCGCAGTATGCCGAACAATTATCGGACCAAGAAGCAAAGACGGCGAATCAAGAAAGAATTCCTTGATTCGATAATGAGAGAAATCAGAGAAGAAGTTTCTGATTTAAAAAAAGCAAAATGAGGGTGATGCGAAGCAAATCGCGATCACACCGGTCAGAACCACAGTGCCGAATTACGATGCTCCCTCATCTATAGATCAGAGGATGATCACCGGCGTCAGCGTTCCCCCATTAACTTCTCAACGCCCTGCCATCAAAGAGGAGCGCGGACGGATTACAAAGAAGTAGGATCTTCGTGACAATTATGGCTTTAATGGGCACAGGCCAACCATATCGTCCTTCTCACGGGAACACGCCGGTAGCATGGTACCGGTTCTTGGTCCCACCATCGTGATCTAATGACTCGGTCACATTTACGAGCACGACAGGACTGACTGATCTGACACACGGTCTGTGTCACTTGCATACATGGCTAAGTGAACCGGAATAAAAAGAGAAACAAGCGAAATGAATGAATTAAACTGAAAAACAATTACTCGGCATATTTTTACATGGATCGTACGATTTTGCAGCTGATCGGTTCAGCACCATCCTCGATAGGAACTACTCTATCGGCGATTGCCCTTTAATTTATTTCTCAATCACGATCGATACAATTATTTTGTCGCTAGTAATTTATGAAAAAATGGAGAAAAATTCTGAGGGTGTTCTACGTTTATGCTTGCTGAAATATATCATTGATAATAGAAGTACAATGATTAATTTCAATTCAAAAGAATTCAGTAATATTTATACCTGTTAAATTGTATTTAAAATCTTTACCGTGAATCTACTATGTTATTATAAAGCAAGGCGTTAATATGAAGTTCTTTCTACGAGATCTATCTGTTAGTTACAATGAATAATAAATAATAACAAGTATAAGGTAGTAGTTTAAACAGTAATCAATAGAGTGCAAATTTGTATGCATTTATAGGAAATTTGAAAGTTCAAAGTTGCACGGAATGCGCACAATACGTAAAAACATTCTATTGCAATTCTATTTTTTTAATTACATTCTGAAAAGTCTTAATTTGCATACAGATCCACAGTCTAATAATACTAATAAATAAATAGATACATAAATAAATAGTAAGTAAATTAATTTACAATAAATGTGAAATAATAGTAACGTACATGTTTATAACGCAAATACAATCATTATAATATAAGTACAATAATTACAAAATATTAGTCAGATTATTTCAAAATAATTGTGAAATGTTTGAAAAATAATATTATATGATTGAATTGCTGGGAACCAACACTTAGTTTCAAATATTTGTTGGGAACATCAAATTTCGCAATATTATTTTACGATTTGATTCAAAGATATAAAAAAAGTGTAAAACGTGTTATTTCGCAAAGCTATTTTATAAAGTGATGAATTGAATATAAAACACGAACGCGAATGATGCTTCATCAAGCACAGCCCTAATTTATTCAATATAAAATACAGAAATCACCAGTGCACCTTTATTTCTTTTTACGCAACTCTATATGGGAAATTACATGCAACCACTTTAAACTGCAAGGTCCATACGCAATCATTTTAGTTATTACGAATCAACATCTGGTTGGAACAATGCTTCCAGCAAATTTTTGGGCATTTTTTAAAATCGCAGCACTATGAATATGTGTTCAGTAAGTGTCGCAACGCTAAAAGAAATGCATTCAATCAATATTGCAACTCTAATCCAAAAAATAATTATAACAAATCGCCAGAATTCAACATCGCGACAGTATGCAATTGTTATTCATAAGTGCAACTACAAATTAGCTTAATGCGTAGGACGTCACCAAATACCTGGGGGTTAATAACCATCGCGATTATCGATCTTTGATATTGATTCTATTATCATTTACTTAACCTGATCCAATAATGGAAGATACAAATTTCCAGATTTTAAAAAATTGTGGTTACTTTCAAGTTCTAACGGGTTTAAATTTTTTAATTTTTGTTTCCAAAAATTACTTGAATTATTTAGAAGAATGGTTCTAATTTTTTACAATTAAAAATATATTTTAATATGGAAATGTCTTGTTCTTCAAAGAAAAATAAGTAATGAAAATTCAAATATGAAGAATAAATGGCACTTGAGCAATATTTTAGTCAGAATTAATGTAATCTGAATAAATGAAAAATATTTAACAGCCCTCAGGTAACACATTCGTTGAAGCATGTGTTTTTAAAACGGAAGAAAAGTATTTCAAGATTGTTACTCCGACTCGTGTCTGCCTGTCACGAATTGTTTTATTGTAGATTATTCTAATATTACATTCGCACAATTAAACAAACTTTAATGCTAACAAACGATAATATCAATCATTAGAATTCTAGTTGAAGTTTGAGAATAAAAAACCAGACGAAAATACAAAAAAGACGAAATACATTCGTATGATTAATGTATTAATATATTTTCACTCGCTTTTTTTAACATTCATATTTAATAATTGTACACGAATCAAAGTATTGCAAATTCTATAATTAACTTTAACACTAACCTCACTGGCATTTTTCTCGCCGTAACTAGTTAAATAACTCTACAAAATACAGATAAACAAATTAGATGGTACATTTTTTTGACTGGAAACAGAAACAAAAGTAAATGAAAATTGAAAAACCAATTAATCGGACAATATAGGAATTGATATAAAATTAAATGAACAAAAGAAAACGCATAATTTTAAATCTGGTCATCTGACCGGTTCCCGGGTACGGTTATAATGATAATCGTGACCTACAAGATAACCCTATCCTAGCTAAGAAATAGATACAAAGGAAATGTTACTACCCTCGGGGATGCAAATATATCCGCGATCACTGTACTCAGAAAATTGAAAATTATGTACAATGTGGAACTCATTCATTGTCCGCTGGCATTCCCCCCTTTTTTTGTTCCATTATCTATTTCTGCTCGCTAGCGATCCCCACTAATATTATTTTCAGATATTTAAATATTCTACCAATATAATATGTTTTACGGGGCTTTATCTGAGGCAACTCTCTTTTGTTCTCAAGGTGAACAACACTCGAGTATTGCCTGATATAAAACAAAACAAAATAAAGCAAAAAATGTTCCTCTTCCTCGGTATGTTGTGAGATACTGATTTATCTTAGTATAGAAATTTTTCTTAAATATGATTAACGAAGTAAGAGAGATGGAGTAACTTTTGAAACACGAATATGTTTTAACGAATTGTTACATTCAATTTTATCTTACTATCACGATTACTGATCTGCGGGATATTACTAAACAGTCTCTCGGCTGCTTCCGCATATAATTGTTGGTAAACGTAGCAAACAGAAACCAGAATATAAAGTAATACTCAAGACAAACTTGTTCCAGAGAATTTTGGCGTCACATGATTTTCATTTGGTTACAACAATTGTTTTTTCTTAGAGGTATTATATACTTTGCCATATAAGAAAGTTTAACATTGCATTAAAAAGAAAA